CAGGTCTATGCAGAGAGATGGTACATTTCAAGTGCCCCAGGTAGTTCATAGGCTCCAACTCCAAGGACAATGACCCAGTAGGGGGTGGTATCCTCTGAACTGACAGAGTTGAAATGCAGATTGAGATATATAATAGCTCAGTTTTCCTACCATGCATGAAGCCCTGGGTTTGATCCTCCGAATTTCCTAAACAAAGCACGGTGGCATACACTCGTGATCACAAACAACACTCAGAAGGTGGATGTGGGAAGATCAGAAATTTAAGGTCACCCACCCTCAGCTACAGAGCAAGTCTGAGGCCAGCCTGGGTCCTCTAGGAAATCAGACATACATGTAGCTAACATGGAGGCAGACACCCAAAACAAAACAAAAACAAAAAGCCAAAACCAGGACTTGGGGCCAAAATGCCTGGTACTGAGGCAAAATAGAGACTCAGAAAGTGTCCTCACTAACACACAGGCCTCTTCCCTTCCTCCCCTCCCCACTTCCAGGGCCCCCAGGCCTCAGCTGGAGGTGGACACAGAACTATAGCCAGCCAGGAGAAGACAGAAATACTGCTCGTCACAGCTGGCTAGACAGCGAGGCTGTTTATTCTCTGGTGTCCGGAATAACTCAGACAACCAGAGAAGGATTTGGCTGCTGGCAGTCCCTGGATTTGTGGTCTCGAAGAAATCATAATCTGAGCAGGCTGGAGGCTTAAGCTCTGAGCAGCAGCTGAAAAAGGAGGGAGGGTCCCCCTGCCTGCCTCTCCTCCAGTGAGTGCCCTGTGGGCCTCATGGTCACCTCCTGGACCTGCAGTGACTGGGATCAGCAGCTGACTAGGGTTGCGTGCAAGGCTCTGGTTAATAAGTGAATATCCGGGGAGATTTCCCATGGGATCCACTTCTGGCACCCCCAGGTGGCCTATGCTTAACAAGGCAGAAGGGCTAAGGGCTCTCAATAGGGAGATTTTCTGCCCACTGGGGGTTGGTGCTGGTTCCACAGCCTTCCTTCACCATCAGTCTAGGTCATCAGTTCTCATCCTGTGGGTCCCAGCCCATTTGGGAGATCAAACGACCCGTTCACAAGGGTCGCATATCAGATACCCTGCATATCAGATATTTACATTATGATTCATAACAGTAGCAAAGTTAGTTATGAAGTAGCAACGAAATAATTTTATGGTTGGGGTCACCACACCGTGAGGAACTGCATTAAAGGGTTGCAGCATTAGGAAGGTTGAGAACCACCGGCCTCGGTCTTTTTCACTCCAACAGCTTCTCCAGCTGTAACCTGTGCCCACCAGGTTCCATTATTACTCTAGTTCTAGAGTCCACACTTTCCGGGATCCATCTCTCGTTTTGTATACATTTGAGTGCATTGTGGGATCACTCATGGGTTATAACGGCAATCCAACCTCAGTGATCCAGACTCACCAATTTAAAAGTCACATTTTTCCCCCCTGTAATTCACAGACTTACCACCAAAAGTAAAGAGAATCCAAGACAGCTGAGGGCATCAGTTAAGAACCCCTCCCCCCATGCACATATATATATATATTCACTCAACAAACTTCTCTTGGGTGCACCGAGACGAATGTATATGTGCTTGTCCTTAGAACCCTGCCCTCTGAAAGCTTCCGGTGGAATTTCAATGCAGAAAACATCATCTTCACACACAGTGCAGCTCGTTGGGTCTAAAACGCTCAGTAGACACCGCTTTCCCTTCGGTCCACGGACACTGCTTTGGAACACTGGAAATTTTCAAAAGCCCTTTCCAGGTGGACCAGGGCGCCAGCGGAGTGGGTGGGGACGGTGGTTTCTATCTTGCTTTGGAATGTCGGGATTTGTTTTGGATGTTCTGAACATCAGGTTGGAGATACACACGCAAAAGCGGAGGGGCTCCTAACCAGATCAGGGTTAGAGGCAGCCCAGGACACCGTCTCCATGGTGCGCAGCCCCAGACAGCTGGGAAACAAACAAAAACCCATGGTGGGGAGTGGACAGAGACAAAAAAGGAAGCCAAGAGATGGAAACCTGGGGGGTGGGGCGGATATGGTGAGACAGTGGAGAGGAGGTGGGAGTGTTAGAGGGGCTCGGGAGGGGTGTGGTCATGTTTGTGTGTGAAGAACCCCAGGGCCTAAGAGTCACCATGGCAACCGGGAGGGTGAGTTCGGCAGATTCCATGCCAACACAAACCTCCTGGGCTTAGCAGTGGATGGGCGCAGATGTGATGCGGCCATGTTATAAAGAAAAACACCTGAACTGGGCTCTTTAAATCAGCTCCCCACCCGTGGCCGGGCTTGGGAGGCGACTGCCATTTAATGGAATGAATTAATCAGAACCAACACTGAATCACATCTGCCTCTCTCTCCTCTCCGCAGGCAGGCAGTAGTAGTTCACAGGACTCTGGGCCCTTCAAAGCCTGCCTCCTACCTGTGAGAGGCCCTCTGGACACCTCTCTGAATGCTGCATTCCAGTCAATGACGTGTAGTTGACAGAGCTGTCTGGGGGGTGGGGGTGGGGCGCGAGGTGGGTGCTTCTCACAAGGCCAAGACAGCAGGGGCCCCAACGTGAGGTGGTGGTACCTGAGAGCCTCCTGATGTCCTCTGCCATCAATTACCCGGGCATGCTCCTCCTCTGGGGCACATTAAACAGAACAGAGAGGAAGCTGCTTTCTCCTCCCGGGCCCCACCCTACGGCTCCCAGCCTGCCTCCTCCAGAGCCTCTGTTCTAATGGCGTCTGCCGTAGGCTTAGGGTAAGGGCTGAGTGGCTTTGAGTCTCGTCTCCTTCCTGCCTATCATTTCCAGGTACCCAGAGGTCTCACAGCACCTCCCACAACCCTACCTAGTTGGGTAGGGCTAGTGCATTCACTAGACAACATGAGCACAGTGCTTCAGACCCATAGTTGGGAAATGTTTTGATTTCTTTTAAAACCAGAAGGGGAGAGCTTCAGATAGAGCTCCATGGTAGTAGACACTTGCCTAGCATGTGCAAGGCACTGGATTCAAAACTCATGGAAGTACTTAAAACCAGGGCTGGAGAGATGGCTCAGCAGTTAGGAGTGCCGACTGCTCTTCCAGAGGACCCAGGTTCAATCCCCAGCACCCATGTGGCAGTTCCCAACTGTCTGTAACTCCAGTTCCTGAGGACCTGACACCCATGGCAAAATACAACGCACATAAAATAAAAAGTAAAGCCGGGCAGTGGTGGCGCGTGCCTTTAATCCCAGCCCTCAGGAGGCAGAGCCAGGAGGATCTCTGTGAGTTCAAGGTCAGCCTGGTCTACAGAGTGAGATCCAGGGCAGGCACCAAAACTACAGAGAAACCCTGTCTCAGAAAAAAAAAAAAAAGTAAAAAATCTTTATAAATAAATATTTTTAAACCAGATCTGGTGTCCCATGCACTCAGGAGGAAGAGATAAGAACAGCACAAGTTCAAGGTCATCCTTAACTATGTAGCCAGTTCTAGGTCAACCTGGACTTCATGGAACTCTGTCTCAAAACAAACCAAAAAATAAACCAAGCCAGGCGCAGTGGTGGCGCATGTCTTTAATCCCAGCACTCAGGAGGCAGAGCCAGGAGGATCACTGTGAGTTCGAGGCCAGCCTGGGCTACAGAGTGAGTTCCAGGACAGGTACCAAAGCTACACAGAGAAACCCTGTCTCAAAAACCAAAAAACAAACCAACCAACCCAAACCCCAGTTCTCCTTCAACTTTGCCCTCTCTGCTTCTCAGCACAATTCTTTGTGTCTTGCCTCCTTTCTGCTTCTGAGAACACTCGCTCTCTGCGAGTCCTCCCTCCCTCTGCCTAGACTGACCGCTCCTCAGGTTCCAGCTGATTTGTGGGAGAGGGCAATGGAGCTGTGTTGTAGGTCGGCTGTGGGATGTCTCCCACACGCTGGTGCATTCAGTTCTTGGTCCCCAGCTGATGGTGCTGGGAACTTTAGGAGGTGGAGCTCATGGAGGAAGATCTGGGAACGTGGTACAGGCTCCTGTTTTGTCCCCGACCCTTGTGTGTGTGTGTGTGTGTGTGTGTGTGTGTGTGTGTGTGTGTGTGTGTGTGTGTGGTTCCTGGCCTCCAAGCTGTTAACTGCTCTACCCAGACACACCCTTCCCACCCTGCCATTGTGAGCTGGGACCATGGAAACTATAAGTCTTCATCCATCAGTCCTTCCTCCCTCAGGCTGTGTATTTCAGGCATTTTGTCTTGGCAATAAGGAAGCTGATGAGAGCTGGGCGGTAGTAGCACACACCTTTAATCCCAGCACCCGGGAGGCAGAGGCAGGAGGATCTCTGTGAGTTTGAGGCCAGCCTGGTCTATAGAGTGAATTCTAGGACAGCCAAGGCTACACAGAGAAACCCTGTCTTAAAAAATTAAAAAAAGAGAAAGCAAGCAAGCTGCTGAGGGTTAGTGTGACTCATCACAAGGGCCCAGTTTGATGCGGTGCTGGGGATCAAACCCTCGGCCTTGTGCACACTACGCGAGCACTCACCATCTCATCTATATCCCTAGCTCCAAGGATGGACATGAGAAACCAGCCTTCCAGGTTTAACTCCCAGCTCCACCACCTCCTCCTGCTATAGCATGGACAAGCTATTGAGCTTTCTGGGCCTGCCTTCAGACCCTTATCTGTAAAGTACACAAGGCCTGTTGTGTAGATCAAAAGAATCAACACACATGTATACTCTATGGTACTGGTTCTGTATTCCTGATCCCGGACCACATTAGGATTCTTTATAACATCTCAGGACGCCAGCCTCACCTGGAATGCTTGTCCATGTGCCCACATTGCCAGCTCCTGGCAGGCAAGGGCTTTGGTTTTGATCCTACTTGTATTCCTAACCCAGGGCACACCGTAAGTGTCCCCGTGTGTGAGGTCAATGACCACAGGTCCCACTTACCAACCATCTGGTGGCACTGCCACTCACGGCCTCCATGAAGAAGGAAAAGGGTGAGCTTTTGAACAATGAGTACAGCTGACTTGAGCTGGGGCTGCGGACAGTCACACAGACAACTTGGTATTTAGGAAAATATCTTTATTGTTTTTTAAATGACCCAGGATTTGATTTAAAAACTTAATAGTGGCTTTTTCAGAAACTTTACAAATTGTAGAAAATGATCTTCTCCTTCTCTGTGGAGACCTCATTCCCATTCCACAGCGTTCTTTCCTGGCTGAAGGCTGGCAGGAAGGAGGGGGTAAATAACCCAGATGCACAGCTGGGGTTCTCTGCTCACACACTAAAACTGAGTCCCAAAGATGACAGCTCCTCTGAGGGAGACTCAGTGCAGGAAGATATGAGGCCAACTGAGGCAGGTGTCTGTCTTGTAGACCACCGGGCCCCTGAAGGCCTAGAGTGTTGTAGATCAAGGCAGCTTCGTGGGAATGAGGACCCTGGCGAGCCTATGGCTTGGATCCTTCTCTCTATAACACAGCCAGGAAAGAGGCTGTGGCCCCAGGCCACGTGGAGCTCTAGGCTTAGACATCTCTCCTTTTATTCGGCTCACAGAGGCTAAGTGTCAAACAGTTACTTTAAAACAAACAGCAACAAAAGCAGAGAACAAACATTTGGTTCCATTTCAGCTGTAATCAGCAGTTGGTCATTTTTAGAAAACGATGACGGAGTTGCTAGTGGTTAAGTCTGCATTTTGTTATCCCTCTGTGGCTCCTTCTCTGTGTGATTAAGAAGGGAAGGAGGTACAGCTGTAGCAGAAAACGTTTGTTGATCTGAGAAAACCGTTCAAATGTTTGACACCCGCAGACTATAAAGCTGATGGAATCCCCAAACGATCCCACGGGTTCTTCTGAGAAGCACAACTCCCTCTCCGGTGTCTTGAGTCAAAACAAGGCAACCGCCTAATGATTTATCACCCCCATTGCACACACTCTGCCTTCCAAGAGGCATTAGAAAAAGGGCCAGCCTCCGTTGGAGCGATTGTAAACACCACGGACAGCTTGGACACGTTGCTTTTAAACGCAGCAGGAGTTACTTTTCCTTTGGCCCTGGCTGGAGAGCCACCTCCCTCGACTATTTGGGAAAAGGCAGATGGGAGGGCACCCATTGACTGGACTGTGACTGGGCACACCAGCAAAGGCAATCAGTACATTTATGGCATATGAAAATTGTCCTGTGCACCCCCTGCAACCGGACCCCAAATTCGACCTGGCTGGATATGAGAAGCAGGAGGTGGAGGACAAAGCTTCCATAAGGCACATGGTGAGTGGCCCCCGCTCCAGGCGCCTGGCATCATCTCTTCACTCGGTTCCAGAAGTGGTGGAAAGCAGAGGAGTTGGTGACACTCACAATGAGCAGCAGCAGCAGATAGAGGGACATCATGACCATGAACCAATGGCTGGACAGCCAGGAGAGCTGACTGGAGGCCCTGCCCGGAGGGAAAAAGGGTGTTGGCAACTCGGGAAAAACATTTTTGTTTTAAGTGTATGCAAGAAGTTCTGGCTCAGAGGACAGGACATGATGAATTTCACGAAGTGAGGCTTCGTGCGGCTCTGCTCAGGAGATCTGGGCTGTTTGCTCTGGCACCGCCAACCCGCCTTTCAACAGAACATTTTCTAAAAGCACAAAGACAGCTATGCGGTGAGCTCACCCGCTCTCCCCTGGTTAGCCTCTGTTACCTTTTAGAACTCGTTTTTTTTTATTTTTTTTTCCTTAAGCAAGGCTTCGGTATCTAAAAGGATGCCCCAGCTCAGGGTGTCTGCACAGACGGTGACATGGTACGTAGGAAAGGTGGTCTTTTCTACATGAGCAGATACGAATCTGAGCTGGGGGGATCTTTTGTGACTGTTATTATGTGTGTGTGTGTGTGTGTGTGTGTGTGTGTGTGTGTGTGTGTACCTGTGTGTGGAGGCCAGAGGACAGCTTTGAGATTCAGTTCTCTCCTTCCACCGTGTGGGTCACAGGGACTGAATTCCTGCTCTCACCAGCCCGGGAATTTTTGTGTTACACTGTGAGGTATTCTAAGCCATCCAAACGTGCCCTGAAAACACTCACTAAGGAGTTCATTAAGAATAAAGTTTTTCAGCTGGGCGGTGGTGGCGCACGCCTTTAATCCCAGCCCTCGGGAGGCAGAGGCAGGCAGATCTCTGTGAGTTTGAGGCCAGCCTGGGCTACAGAGCGAGTTCCAGGAAAAAGCACTAAAGCTACACAGAGAAACCCTGTCTCGA